GGCGCCACTTTGAGTCAAGCTCTGAGAAGCAGCCCATCCCATTGCGACAAAGCTGGAAGACTTGCTTGATACCATACAGGCCTTCCGCATTTGCGGCAGCGCTGGAGTTGTGGGTTCTATTCCCAGATGTTGAAGTGTCAAGGGGTTGCTATTTCTGAGATTGGCAAGAGGATTTAGTGGGGGCATCGCACTCCAACATGCGCTTCAGGAACGCTGCTTTCGAGAGACTCGCTCTTCGGATGTGAAGACCTCAGCCTCGCTTGCGCTGTCTGTTGTGAGTGGAGCTGGCATCGAGGCTTGTCTGCCAATGTATTTCGGAAGCTTCAATCAACAAAGCTTGAGTCATCCACCCTGCTGTGCAGGTTGGACGTGGGCGCAGCAATGAGGAGATCTTTCAATGCCTGTTGAGGGGTGTTCACATTTTCGTTTGTATTCACCTTTTTGGATCAGGCCTGCGCCGAGGCCAAGCATCCTGATCAGGCCTCCCAAGTCAGAACCCTTTGCTGCAAGACAGCCTCCAATGCAGTGCGATGAAGGATTCAGAGCATCCGTGGAAGGCCCGAAAACACTTTCCGCTGCTGTTTCAGATCTGCAAGTAAAAATGGGGTTTTGTCAGGAGAGTGGCTCAACTGAAGAGCTCTTCCGTGCTGTTCTCAGTAGTGTCTCTTGGCATTGATTCTCACCGGCTGGGCAGTGCCAAGGCCGCTTCGGACAATGGTTTGCCCTTTGCTGAGCCCTCCAAATATCATGAAGTTTACGCAACCCTTTTGGAACGTCAGTTGCTCGCTTCGGGAAGCCGTGAAAAAGGCTACGTACATTTACTCTGGACTCCGGGGATGCTGAGGTTTGGCAGTCGGCAAGCAAGGAGGCTGAGCCCGCTTCTCAGTATCCGTGTACCGGCCATAATCGGCAATCAGGGCGCTTACGTGACTTCAGGCTCGCGCTGCGTGCATTCGATGATCCACCAAAGGTGCACAGACATTTACATTTCAAGACTATTTCAAGTTCCTGTTCTCCAGTGTTCTTCAGTGCTCCTTTTGAAAGGTTCCAGTTGGAGATGAGGTTGCATGGAAGCGTCTGGACCTCGAATAGGCACTTGTGAGCCGAATGTCAGCAGTGCAGACTGTGCTGTCAAGGTCTGGGTCCTGAAATCAAGAAGTACCTTGAAGGCTCGAGCCTCTCAGCATGATGCATATGGCTGCGAACATTTTTGGAAAGGCCTCACCGATGCGGCGCGCATCCCATTTCCAGCTGTCAGGATCCAGACGCGTGCATGTCGTGTCCAGGCTCAATCCCTGATAGAAGAGCTGGAGTGTGAAAAGACGTTCTACAATGAGGACGATGCCCAATATTGCTGCAGAATGCTGCACAGCATGCTCAGCAAAGAATATGCGACGCCAACAGGCCTGGTCGGCTCATGGATTGGGCTCAGAGCACCTGGCTATAGCAGCTGCCGCTGTTGTTGCAGCGGCAGGATGCTCAAAGTATTGAAAGTCTACGAACAAAGCGATAGGTGCAGACTGCTTCTGCTGTTCAGACAGGTGCGGTCCCGTGTGGAAAAGCTGAAGGATGGTGTCTGGCCGACGGTCCACCCAGCCAACGCTGACTTCGTGAGAGTGACAACAATCTCCTTACTGGCAGGGACCTCCAATCAATGAAGTTCCTCCTGGAGGTGGACGGCTCATCCAGGTTCTTGAGGCCAGTTCTGTGTGGCATGCTCGTTTCGCAGTGGTTGTTGTCATCTAGCTGTCTGCCAGCCCAGCAGTTTCTTGACAAAGGCTTTAGATCGCGAAGCCAGCAGGCACCGTGAGGCCAATGCCAGTGGCTCAGCGCTGCAAGCTCTCAGCGCTGAGCAAACAAAAGGCGCGAAAAGCCCTGACCAGGTGCCAGCATCAGAGCCGCTTGTGGACATTATGGTGCCTCACGTGGCTCCTTGTCGGCTAGCTCTGGATTCAATATATGTATGACTCGCGGAGTTCAGCCAAGAGACGTTTGTCGGCCACACATTGAGCTTCCGCGCACATGGGTTGCCTCACATGCCCAATTCAGAGGGCGCACTGCACACGTTACCATCCTGAAAAGCTAGCCATGGCCGCATGCATTTCGTGCGCCCAGACATCAGCGCTGGCAGAGAGCCTGGCGGCACTGGACCGAGACATCACTTCAAAAGCCCTCGACGGAAGTATGAAGCTTAGAGAGCTGGGCCACACCTGCTGATTCTTCCGCATGCCAGCTAAGATCCGGACAATCTTTTTGTTCCTTTGCGACCACCGTCCTCCATTTACTGTCAGGCATTCATTGTTCTAACTGAAAGAATTACTTGTGCAGAGCACCCTGTCAGGCAGTCGTGACGCTCTGGAGATTCATCCATGATGCACTGGATGCTCCATTAAGTCAGAAGCAAAGGGCTCTTTCGTGCTTCGTGTGTGGACAGTGGCCTGCTGGACGTTCTTCTGGTTGGTCGCTGGTGTAGCTGCTGTGGCAGAGGTCTTGGCTTGTCTGTGGACATTGTTGTTAGCCCTTTCATCAAAGACTTCCTGGGGCAGGCCCAAGTCTTTCAAGTACTTCAAGAAACAGCTGAGCGTAGCTCTCTGAGTGTCGGGGAGGTGCTGCAGCGCAGCGCGGAGCGCCTTGTGAATCCCTGCGAAGATCAAGAAGCTTTCGGGTGCTTCTTGAGGTTGTGTGGTTCTTGTCAAGCCATTTGTGGCAGGATGTCAATTCGTGCTGCTCAAGTCGCTGGAGAGTTGAAAAGCACGAACTGCGCGGTAGACTCTGATGAGGCACCAAGCCAAGTCATCGTGATTTCCGTTCCATCCATCATGTCGCGCTGCGAGGATGGTGGATCCACAAAGATTTCGGACCCGAAGAGGTCGCAGAACAGGTGCTAGTAGCCCATCGCCAAATTTGTAGAGAGCGCAGCGCTTGCGCGCTTGAGTTCGCAGGGGCCGGAAGAAGTTCCTCACCAAGCTCGCTCCTGAGTTTCAACAGAATGGTTTTTGAAAGGATGAACCTTCAGAAATGACCAGATGTCTCAACGGGTCATGCATCGCTTGAGTGCCTTTTTGTCTTGTTCGTTTGCTTTTGTTCACTCGCTGGTGTCCTTTTGTTTCTGTTTGTTTCGTCGTTGCCAAGCTTATGTTCTCTGGTTTATATCTGTTGTTGCGTGTATCTCGCGGGGCTGTTGCCTCAGCAACACCAAGCGCCTTTCTTCTGTACAAGAGTCGGTGGGGTGGTTGGTCGGTCGGTCTATCCGTTGGTGGTTGGTGGGTGGTCTGTCGGTAGGTCGAAGCGTATATGTTTCACATCAGTATATGGTTGTCAATGGACTTGCATATCTGTAAGGCTGCGCCCCAAACCCCAGTTCACCTCAATATTGCTTCACATCATGCATATCTTGCTGTGCAGGACCTTACAGCAGAGGCTGGAATGACTCTGCTTCCAACCTTCCTGTAACGTGGTGATGTTTGCTTCACACTCATACCTTGGTGACTGAGTATGTCGATAGAGCAGGCCAGCCAGAGTCTCCCTTTAGGGGTCGCAGGGTCGGGCGATTGTCCCGCTGTACCCGCATTGTCCTTACTTCACGTTGCTATACGTTGCTGTATCTTTGTCTTTAGCTGTCAGCAAACGGAGCGTGGGTTGCCTCCCCCTTGCTCTCAGAACGGTGTATGTTCTTTGCATTGCTTTGCATCATCCTGATTCTGTCAGTGAGTTGCAAACGAGTTCACGGGGCCGCAATACCCAGACCTATCAAGCCTCCTTGCAAATTTTGGCGAAAAGCTAGCATGCTTTTGCTGAATGACCTTCTAATTCATTCGCAATCGCGAGTGAGTGTTGCTTTGGTGGTGAGGCGTGGGGGACGCGCGGAAGAAAAAGCTGCTAAATTGATCTCAAGGAACCTAAGCCAGCCGACCAACAATCAACACGCACCCCTAGACCAAACCTCCAAAATTACCACAGATCTTGAGAAAAGCTACACTTCGGTGGTGCATCCCGCGAGGGGTTAGCTAAGTTATAACAGCCCCAGGCTTCAGGCTTCTGTGGATGAGACCTCTTGCACATTTGTTGACAAAGAAGAGGGTGTGGATGCTTCGCATCGGTGTATCTTTGTCACAGAGTTTTTCACCGACTTTGGGCCGGGCCATATCCGTCCAGCTGCGAACAGGAACACAACCTCTCATCGCCCGCAACGATTCTGCGCTCAAGTTTTCTCATTGCCGCAATACCGTACCCTAAATCCTGCACACACTAGTCGACGCGGGATCTCAAAACCAAACATATTCCAGCCCCCAAGCTTCAACATTTTTACAAGCCACTGGTTGCAAACACTGGACTCTGAATAGAGCGCATGGGGCCAACAACAACAACGAGGACGGCGAGGACGAGGACGAGGACGAGGACGAGTACGACGACGAGGACGACAACGAGGATGACGACGAGGACGAGGAGGAGGAGGAGGAGGAGGAGGAGGATGAGGAGGAGCAGGACGACCACGACGACGACGACGATGACGACGATGACGACGATGACGACGACGACGACGACGACGACGACGACGACGACGACGACATGAACTGTTCAACACCAATCGTCAATCCAGCCCCCCCGCCCCCAACAACAACACAAAGAAAACGACGAATGGAACGGACGCAAATCCTGAACCCTAAAGTCCTGAAGGACACTCTAGCCCTCGGCTCTATTCCAAGTCCCATGCGAGCAACGAAGCCTATGAAAACAGCAATGGAGTAAAACAATAAGACCTAAGCGACACACGCACGCACACAAGGACAATGAGAGAAAAGGCTCACGTAAGCGAACAAGCAACACAAGGAGGGAATTCCTGGCAGAATGACACCACTAAGCAGGAAGGGCCCGCAAGGCGCTGATTGCCTGCAGTCTCGAGACATGCACGAGCATGCCAGCTTGAATTGGCCGTTTCTTTGCTTCTAGCCAGGCTGTCCGGCAAGAGTTTGCAGGAGGAGGTGACTAAGAACACTGTCATGGAGGCACGGTGGCACGATCCCTTGTTTCCCCTTGAGCAGCTTTTTTTTATCGCTAGTTGTTTCAGGCACGGCTCCTGGAGGTCAGCCCGAAGGTCGTCGCGGCGCCTGTGCGACAGGCCGAGATTCGAGCTACGCAACATGAAGCCATGCAGCAGGTTCTTTAGTGCCTTTCCGTGCTTTCAGGTGATGGTGCGGTTATCTTCCATCGGGTTCTGCCTAGCTGAGCTTGCGGATGTCCACACGAAGCTCTTCAAGATGGCTCCCTGCTGCATGCTAGCAGATCTGGTCCAAGTGCAGCCTACTTCATGGTACGGTCAAGGTGAACTCTGGCGATGATGACGGCTGCCCGACTGCTCGTCACAACGAAGCCCGCATGTTGATCTGTGAGGTGCGCCAATCACGAAGCTTGGCTCTTTGCTCTATCGTAGCTACTTGAAGGAGCTGCCTGAGCTGCAAGAAAGCTTGTTGCACAAGGGCCAGACCCTGGCCAAGTGACCTATGCAAGCTGCGTGCCTTTTGCAATGCATCGCAAGTCGAAAGCGTCCATTGTTTCGGTCTTCTTGAGGTACCTTGCAGCACGACTGGGGCTTAGGGGATACTTGCCATGTTACATTGAATGGATTGTTGGCCAAGCCTCAGGCCTGGTATATCATGAGCTACGATCTGAGATCTGGCCTCAGTCTGTCTGCTGGTCTGCACTGAACCAAGCCATACAAGCTTTGCATGCTTGGGCGGAGGGCTGGACTGTTCTCGCATGGCATGGGGAAGTGATTTGGTTTCTGACAGAGCTTTGCACCTAGGCCCGATTCTGAGGTTTCTAGGCGCAAGCGAAAACGAGCGCAGAGCAGTGGTGCTGCCACAACCTCCCACCAAACCACAGGCAGTGCCAAGACGAACAACAGGAGTTTTGTGCTCATCATTTTTTCGAGGTAGCATAGCAGAAGCCTTGGGTTTGTAAGGGGCTGGGCAGGATTGAACGTCTTAGCAGGCAGGAGTGTCCGGCTTGCGCACAAACCAAGTTTTAAAGCTTTTTGTTCGGCATAGATTTACGAAGCATTCCGGTCGAAGATACTTCACAAGAGGCAGACCCCTAAATGAGGTCTTTAACCACGGGGTTGGTAGGCTGGCAAGATACCCAGCTGCGGGCGGGCTTTTACCCACAGCCATAATTTGCTGTGCGGTAGCTGTCTCCTACATGGGAGAACGGAGAAGACATTGTCGGAAAGAGCAGCCACCCAGGCTCTTTGAAAGATTGTACTTCGTCACGGCTCCAGGTTTGGTGCCTGGCGATTCCGTTGAGATGGGTTGAAGCACAAGCTTGTTGAGAGGTGGTGGCATCGCAACTCCAAGCAGTGCTGTCGGCAGCTTCACTCCTCGCTAGACTCCGAGAGACCGCACAGGCTCTTCCCCAAGCCTGTTCAGTTCAGCATCCATGGCAGGGACTTCCACTACACCGGCCTCCTTTCTTCAAGACAGTGCTGGCGGACTCCTGACGCTCAAGGCCGCCCCATGAGGCAGCAATTCACATCTTTCATGCAATATAAAATGTGCCCGTGACAGGAGATTGTGGCGAGCCGGCAAAATAGCTTCTTGAGCCGTGAGCCCAGGTAAGTGTGAAGAATTGGCATTCTGTAGTGCCTGATATTCTGTGAGGCCTTGTTGAGCAAGCACCTACAGCGTTGCTGGGAAGTTTCGTGGCACGTAGCTTGGATGGTTCAACGGAAAGACGGCGAATGTAGTGACAGGGCAGCTGCAGGCTGAACTTGGTATCGAACTGACGCATGCCTGGATGTATGCGCTGGACCTACTTTGTCCATGTCTGCTCTCATCTGCCGCCGTGGGTAGTTTGTGCAAGTGATTCCATTGCTTGCGTGGTGTTGGAAGGCAAACCTGGACTTCGCACAATCATCCGTGTGCTTTGTGTAGAGGTTATCATCGACTACTTGCGCAAACAACAGCTGGACCAGGCTCTCATGATTTTGGTCTGCTTAAGAGTCCCTCTAGTTTGATGCTTGCTGGATTCAATTTAAAGCATCTCCTGGCAGATCTACGACCACCTTGATGGTGACCAGGAAGCACTGAGTCGAGCGCGTTGCCCCCAGATGTTGCTTGACTGGTCTGGGTCATAGCCTGCAGCTGAGGATCGACTCCATGATGCAGGTTACACGACAACGCGTGCAAACCAAAGCCCTTGGAGGAAGCTGCTTGGGCTGTTTCTACTTGGACCCCTATTCAGCTGCTACAGGCCTCACGCTTGAGGACTGTCGCAATGCAGAAAAACGTTTGGAAGAGGCAGGAGGAAGCATAAGGTTTACAGATCTCGGGGCTTCGTGGCTTTACAGGTTCAGCGGCTGTCGCAGTGCCTAATTGAGGAGATGCGATCACGCACAGCCAAGCACCCAGCGTGCTTCTGACGGCTCCTTTCTGCTTCCGTATGGTCGAAGGCAGAGGAACTTGCGCGGTACGCTGCCAAAGTCCGAGGCGACCCCATGGGATTTGCACCGTGTCATATGCCGAGTATGTGACGTTTGAACATTGAGCCTGTGAGCCAGGAGAGTTTTCGCAAGAGACGCGTGACATGCGTGACACAGCATCCACGATGTTGGCGGGGCCTCTTTCTGTGCTTGGAGTTGTCTAAGCTTGCATTTACGCCGTACACTCTTTCCGTTGTGGAAGGGGCGTGAGCGCTCACAAACTCCCACCCCGATGGGCCCTTCCCTCGGCGAGAAGACTCCTCGCATTCTGACATATTCTGACATGGAGTCATTAGTTGATGCCGTAGTATGGTTCTTGAAGTATGCGCTAAACCCTGACTGACGTTTATCAAGCTATGCTTGCGGTTAGTGTCATCGTGAGAACTGTAAAGACCACAAGGCTGAATTGCTTCTCAGGTCGCTCCAAATCGCCGCATCCGAGGCAGAAGCGGGCGTTGGCAAGCAAGATGACCCTCGAAAGCAGAGGTCAACGTCCCCATCGGGAACATCTGCTGGTGCTTTCGGTGGCTTGGACATGCTGTCGTTTTCCGTTGGAGCCATGCAAGCCGCAGCATCCTCAGGCTACTATTCACCGCGGAGCCCGTCGCCGGTACCAATCTCGTCATTAGCTCAGATGTCGAAACATCTTTCGAAAGATCTCTTTTGGCCTTGAGAAGGCCTCGGGATGGTGCAGCAGATCCACAGGCGTTGAGCTCCAGGCCATTGTGCCCATACTCTCATTTGACTCGTTGGAAGCCGTGGCCAATCCAGAGAGGTCCGCCAAGCAAAGATTCCAAGGAGCGTGGAAAGCCATGAAGCGGCGTCCTCACCTGGCAATTTCTGATCTGAAATGCAGCTGTGCTTCCAATCTCTTTACCAAGGCGTTTGGGCAAGGGACACAAAGACTTAGAAGCCAGGCCAAAGAATTTTGTGGGCTGTTGTGATCTTGGAACAAGCATCTTTTTGTGCTGACATGTCAGGGATGGGCGGCAGTGATCAAGAAGCCATGCTACTCAGGCCTGGGGTTACCGAGGCAGTACGGTAGGGCCGGGTGGATGGCGGAAGTGTGCTCAGGGCAAGATGAGTGTGATGACCCGGCAGGGTTTTGCCTTAGGCAAATACCCATTTTCAAAATTAGTGCATCTTGACAAGGAAGATGTGCTTCATGTGTAGAGCATTTTCCATGCCCAAACTGCAGGTGCTAGGTGGGGCAATGTGGAGAAGGCATGGGGACAGCAGGGAGCAGACAAAAACAGGGGCATGGCAGCGGATCCCATTTGCTGCACAGACGCTGGTGCGCCGCTAGTGCCTGCATGTCAGGAAACAGGTCAGACAGCGCCAAGGTTGATCATGCTTGAGCATCCTTCAGTGGCATGCGTCTTGTGGCTCAGGTTTCACCCTCACGAAATGGCCTGATTTAGATTTAGTGCTGCAGTGTGTAGGTTACACGTCAAGCCAGATGGCAGCTTTCCAAAAAACAACGAACAGAGATTTCCAAGATCCAGCTCTAAGAGGCATGCGTTGCTGGATCTGAGATGTTGGCAGCATCCGGTAGAAGAGGCGCTGCTGCCATTTTCTACTAAGCCAGCTTTGGCCGGAAGGGGGTTGCGATGCAGGTTTCAATGCAAGCAGAACCAAGCGGAGGAAAGGTGGCATTGGGGTTCGTGTGTGCATTGAGAGAGCAAATCAATACGCGCGTTTTTGTTTTCTGGAGGAAGACGGAACCGGACCTCAGCTGAGCAGCGTCGACTGGGACTCACGGCATCTCAAGGATCGACTTTGACGACAAACCGAATTTGTGTTGTCCTCAAGTTTTCACAGAGCTGTCCTTGTCAGGAGCTGGCTCTGTGGGGTGCACATGCGAAAGGCCTTTTTCTGCTCGGAACACCATGATTCAACATGATGGCAAAGTATGGTTCCCTGTTGGAGGTGAAAACGGTCTGGTGGTGCTCTCAGATGGCAGCCTGAGAGCAAACAAAGTTCAACATCAAAGCCTGAAATGAGGACCAAGGCTACCTGCAGCCCTGGGGGCCACCTATTGACCTCCGAGATGTTGCTGAAAAGGAGCTGGAGCTCCATTCAGAGATGGCTACTCTTGTGGGATATGGTACACTTCGCGCTAGTCAATTCGATATTCTCCATTGGGCGCCTAACCCAGATGAGCCACAATAAGCGCGTTATACAGGGGATTTATACAGGGGAGTATAACAGGGGTGATTAGGGGATACTAGGTGTTTAGATTATAGCTCATGTGTCCAGAACACTCTGTGAATGCTTTCAGTTTCCTGCGCTCTAAAGCCGTTGTGGCTGATGGAAGACCAGCCTGTGACAGACTTGGCGCTATGCAGGGCATGCCGACCTTCAGCTCGGCCACGGCTCTGACTCGGCTAGATGCTTTGGAAGCGGAGCTACACCAACTCAGAACACAAGATGCCCAGGCACAGCAGTTTCAACAAGGCCTGGTCTGTGGGAAGCCCTTCTGTTGTCCTTCCATTCTTGTGGTATCTCGTGATCAGAAGTGTTGGTTGCCCTAGCTTCAGGATTCTCTCTGCCATCGCGTCTGCCGCCCCTCGGTGCTGTATCCTCGTCGCCTGGGCCAAATCATGGTGTGGCTACTGCTACTGGACCGAACCCATGTCCCACTGTGCGAGAGGAGGACCACGGGGACCAGGCTTTCAAGGAGTTGATGGTCGCGCACCGTGAGCTGCTGCAAATGATGGCGGCACAGTCTGCAGGGCATGCAGAGCTTGTGAAGCAGCATTCTGAGCTGATGAAGGCCCACCAAGAACTGGTGAAACAGTGCGGTTCCATGAAACCCAAGACTCCAGAAGGGAGGCCCGCTGTCGGCTCCTGCACAAACCCACGGATTCGTAAGCAGAGAAGTCGTCTCTACGTCACGAATGATTCTAAGTTGACACCACCCATTGAACCAACGCTTGTGGATAATGCGCTGCTATTCCTTCCAGAGAGAGCTGTGCGCGATATGAACCTCGAGCCCAACATGAATGACAAGGGCGACAGTGACAAAACCATGTGGTGTGGACGTGTTTGGGAGTTGAGAGAGCTCATGGCCACCTTCCATAAAGACAAGGTGAGTCGAATCGGATCCGAGGCTGCGCAGCTCACAGATTTTCGAAAGCGTGAGCTGAAGGCCAAGATGAAGGATCCTTCTGTGCGAAAGATGTTGAAGAGGTTTGCAGCTAGGTGGCGAGGTGCTGCCTATCGCAACCGCTGCAGCTTCGCCGTGCTTGACCGCCTGAAGTATTCGAACCTGCGAGGAACGTTGGTCTATGCACATGGCTCGGGCGGCTGCAACTGGGACAACTATCGGATCTGTCGAATGATTGCTGGTATGGGGATCCTTGTAGTTGCTCCTGATGGCTTTGCGTACCCCAAGAATACTGCCATGGGCGAGATGAGGCATAAGGAGCTTGGACCTTTGCACCGAGCAAGCGATGATGTGGATTATTGGGCAAATGATCTGATTTATATGTCCGCCGCAAATGGAACATTCAATTATTCCAGCAAGGCAGCCTCGGCTCCATAGTTGCAGATGAGGTTTGTGTTAGTTGATTTTTGTCTCGGGTTTTTAAGGCTTCGGGTGCATGTTGCGTCGTGAGCAGTGTTGACAGCTGCAAAGGTGCTGCAGCAGCCCGATGAGTACAAAGACATGTATGAGAAGTGTTATCAGCTGCGTCGATCCGAGCTGCATTTCACGATCTCTCATCTGCCTCACTGGGTCCATTCTCAGGGATTTTACTTAGGGGGCACCTCGGAGGGAGCGATGACAGTTGCGCGCTTCGACGATCAGCGCTATGGGGCGATGGTCATCGGCCGGTTCATCAACTCTTTTAGCATTGAGTACTGTTACTTCACGCCAGAGCCGGAAGCCGGTCTAATTGGCGGTCAGCTGGATGTACCGACGTTGAACATCATCGGAACAAAAGATCAGTATTTTGGTAAGGAGGATTCCATTGCAAAGCTGGTGGCAGAGAATGGGGTCACAGGATACGGTGATAGGCACCTCACCGGACATGGATACAACACAATGGTACGTCAAGGGCTCGATGTGGGCTTGGTGTGCATCTTAGAGAGCCTTGGTACAGCAAATATGCCTTGAGTTTCTGAATGCAAGCTGTCAGAAGTGCACGGAAGTCTACTCAGCGTTCTGGCAGGGATGGAATGCACTCTCCATGCAACACCCACGACAATTTCTTGCGCCAGCTTTTCAACACCTTCTTCTCCAGGAGCTCCGATGTTGAAGCGCGTCTGACCTGTTGCCATTTATTATGCTGCAGAGTGCTGTCAGCAAGGACCCACTCTATCTGGGAGCTGCACATGCAACCTGGCAGCAGTGGTTCTGCATGAAGTAAAAGCCCCCTGCAGGAGCCTAAGTGTTCGTCGTGCATTTCAGGATATGGGCTGCGGATCCCACACTAAATGCCCTGATTTCATTGGTCTCCACCTCAGCATCGATCCCTGGTAGCAGAATTTTTGATTCTTCCGCTACCCAGGAAGAAACTACCGCAGTTGGGGATGGCATGGTCGGCAAGAACATCACCCGACTCTTTGTGCCAAAGATGAAGTATCCAAATCGTTTGAATCTTCGCACTGTTGAGGTGCTCCGGTCCTTGAATTGTCAAGATGAGCTTCGGGATGCCATGGCAAAGGAGAAGTGTATCATTGATGCTGAGAGGACTGAAATCAAGGAACAGCTAGACCGCGTCCGGGTGGAAGCAGCCAAGCAGCGCAATTTCAAATCAACCGGAAAGCCTGCGTCGAATTTTTATGCCAAGGACAAGTTTGCCGTCAAGTGTGCATGGAAAGACTGGCTAAAAACCCACACATGACGTGTCACATGCACAAAGCCTGCTGTGATAGTCTCACATGTTGCGACAGGCGCCAATGTTCAGACACTCTGTCTTGACGAGCGCGAAGCTGCTAAGCAGCGAGGATAATGCTTCCGACGAATGCTGGCTCGTAAGGCGAGCTCAGCTCACCACGTTGACTACAAGTTTGAGCTGAATAGAAATGCTCCTGCGAAGCTGCGTGACAGTGACATGTCTATGCACGCTTCTTTTCTTCTTTTCATCCGTGAAGCAGGAGCCACTGAGTGCGTTTGCCCTCTGGGTGGTCAAGCAGCTGAGGAGCCGTCAGAGCGGAGCTGTCTGCCTGAGAGCGTGAGTTGTTGGCAGTACACTTTACCCAGGAGTCAGCGAGATGCTGTGTCATGCTTTGCGGCAGCTCATCTAAAGCTGCAGGCAAGCTGGTACCCCGGATAATCCACGGCGATGCTTTAAAGTGAGCTTTGGCGCTGCCCAGGCATTAGCAAAGACTTGGAGGATGGCAAAGTAAGCTTTGCCTCCGCGCTGGTGCAAAGCTCATCCCGGTATCGAGAGGAGGGGATATTGTTTCCAGCTGAGGCTGTATTGACAGAGATGCCCCCACGACTAGAAGCTGCAGAGGTTGCTTGAAGTGTCTTCCTGTGTATGTTGACCTTCATGGCATCTCGTGTCTTGAGGAACGTGTGCAAACTTTGGAATGCCGCGTGGATCGACTGAACAATGACTTGCTGAACCCGGTCCAGCCCAGTACTGAAAATTTGCTCCAGCCACACATGCATGAATCTTTGAGATGCTCAGGCCGAAGGTTTGTACCTTAGCTGTGTGCACTCTTGCTGGCAAGTTTGCCTTGACTATCCAATGATGGTGCTGATGCCAAGAGGTATTGACCTCGCAAGCTTCATTGAGACCGACTGTCAATATTCATGACAAGCCATCTGAGGAGGCATCCAGCGGGAAGGTAGGCAGCGTGTGCACAGTGCATGCCGTGTATGCGCCGGTGCGGAGGAAGTAGCCGCCGTGACGGGGGCTTTGAACAGGGAGTGAAGTGCAAGAATGGCTAGCCTCAAGCTGCAGATTTCCAGTCTACGCAGGACCACCGGTGGACGGGACTCGAACTGAAGGAAAAAGGATGTTTGTGTGGACCTCTTGGCAGGACCTAGGCAAATTCACAATCCGTTCTCGTTTCTGGCTCTCCCGGAGCAAGCGGCAGTGGCCGAAATGCTTGGGCTACGCCCAAAGTGTAGGTATCATAGGAAATAGCACGAGGTTTTTGCACAAAGCTTAGCAAGTCCAGGAAATGTAGCGCAAAGTGCACAAGTATAATGACAAACACAATAAAGCCACTGCAGCAGTTTTACCAGCTCCGAAGATGCAATCTGCGCAAAAGGCTCTTGAAACACCAGCACCTGGTGTGGTGTGCGCATCGATTTGGAAGTGGCCGACAGCCCTGACCGCAAAAAAGCCGGTATGTAATACACACAAGCAAGCAAACAGACAAGCGTTCTAGCAGTCAACGAAAACGCCAAATAACCAACCAGCCAAACACACCAACAAACCAACGAAGCAAAGCAAAGCAAGAAAGCGAGCACGCACAGGTGCATACGCCCTCAGCCACAAACCGTTGTTTGTTGGTTTGCTTGTTTGTTGAGCTAGGCCCAACGTAGTCAGGTAACGGGTTCCTGGGTCCTCAAACCGCCTCAAGGCTTAGGTGTGGTGCTGATTCTCTGTTCCCCGAAGTGACAAGTTTGCAACATGCACTACCCATGTTTGACATGTACTGTTGCACTTACAGAATGCAAAACTGCACAACTGGACATGCTTGACATGTACTGCTGCGCTCAACACTGCCTGAAAATCTGACTTTGGGGAAAGGAAAAGGCCTTGACTTTGTGCAGGTACGCTGGGTTGATCAGACTCAGTAAACGGAGGACACAACAGATAGCTTCGTTTGGCCCAGCTTTATGGGCCTCCTCTGCCCACCTGCTATTTCAACTGGACATGGACTGAAAGTCCCTTGATAACAGGTTGCCCACCCACACACTCACACTTGAGCAGACCAAGCGGTCTAATGAGGGGCGGCTGCAATCTTTTTTCCTTGTTCTCTTCCTTTTTCATGTCACTTGCTATACTAGTATAGTAGATTACCGCTCATCTGGATTTACCCAGAGTCTTTTATCAAAGACATCTCATCAACTGTTTGCATTTCTCTCTGAGCTCGGTGCCAAACAACAGAACGGACACGTGCACCCGCAACATTGCTGCTCCCTCCAGCAAAACTTCAAACAGGCCTCCAAAGAGAAGTGCGCACTCCCTTGTATGACAAATCTGGCCATCACACAAGCAACAGAGTTAAGGGTGTTTTTGGGCGGCCAACATAGCGACTACACAATCTGGCGTCCCAGATTGCTTCACAGCGTCTTCGTTGGGCAGTGAATGATAGTAGGCCCACTGCCCCTCTGCTTACCTAAAAAGCCTGCAATTCCGCAGTTTACTGCCCACATGTTGAACATGTCAAAAAGCCCTCTGGAACGAGTTGTATATATGTATATAATAACTCAATAAATGTGTATATATATATACATATACATACACACAGGTAAGCACACGTGTCAAGGACCTACAGGCTTGCAAGAACGCATGTGCCAACGAAGTGTCTGGGGCAGTTAGGCTGCTGGCTGGCCGTAACAATGTGTTGTGCTTTAGAAGCAACATGCGCAGCAGAGCGCTGGTCATGATCCCTGCCGGAGGCAGTGAGGGAGTGCCGAGAAGCCGTTGGCCTGATGCTTGCGTCATGTTGGTCCAGTACTCAGTCGGCAGCCTCGAACTGGGCCAGCAGCCTTCGGAGCGAACGGACGTTTATTCATGGACCACACGTGTCGCCAAGTCTCGACAAGCATCATTGGAGTCCTTGGGAATGGGGCAGCTTGCCAACTAGAGTTCGAGGGCGTTCAGGTTCCCATATGATCTTACCCAACCTGAGTGTATAGGAAGCACCCGCAACTAAGGGCAAGTCATCCTGGAGAGCGGGGGTTCATTTCCTGACAGTTCGAATGGTTGCAGAAAGTGTCAGAACTTACTTTTTGTCAGCGTCCGTGTGAGGAACATGAAAGAGGAGCTGACATCACTGGAGGAGAAAATGTCCATGAGGTCTCGTCTGACTCTTTGATCCGCAGCTTTTCATCATTGTTTCGACTGGAGCCTGCAGGCTACATGACTTTGAAGCGGCGTTGCAAGCTGCTGCAACTGCGAATCATGACGCCGTACATGATCAATTCGCAGCGCGTAGCCACGAGTTGGAGGTGCAGCCTGCATCTTGCCGCTCAGCTCTTCAGATTGATTTTGCACAGGCATTGTACACACGAAGCGCTTTGTGTGAAGAAGGCTGTATGCCCCGTGCAGAATTTCTCAGACCATTTAGTGCAAAAACCCACTTTGTCTTGGGAGGGCTTCAGCATTTTCAGCGTCAATCGTCGCTCTTTTCAGAGTGGAAGGATCTTCTGCGGCGTGAAGATGTGCAGCTGCAGCATGCTGCAGCCCCGCCCGCAGGAAGAAGCATCGTATCAACTCGCTGAAAACCTGAGGCGATTGGACGAGGTCTCTGTTGTTGTGAATCTTGAAATGCGCTCCTGCCCGTATGACTCTTCCCAGGTGGAGGCAAGGGTGGATGCAATTGGCTCTGGGCTTGAGGACGCGCTCATGAGGAAGTTCTTCCTGCTTGCGAGAAACATCTGCTTGAAGGAGCTAGCCGCCAGCAGGTCTGGACCTGCGGATGGCACAGGCTTTTGCGCAACTCAATGCGTCATGCCCGTGGTTTGCTGATGTTCACGTGCTTTGATGGAGTCAACAATGAAAACTTGTGACATTGGTCATGGGGACTCAGCGCAAGATGCTTGCAGCCACCTGCAAGTCGCGGGGAAGCTCTCGAGGGTGCACTCCCTTTCCTCTCGAGCGTGCGCTCCAAATATCTCGAGTGTGCACCCCTCGGTCTGTTTTGAAGAGGCCCCCCCAGCCGCGCCAGCCGCG